GGGTTTCGGTTCGTGCGTGCTGACTTGCCAAAGATCCTGGCTGAACAACAACAACAGTTCTTCAGAATGAAATTTATGAATTTAATAAAAGGAAAACTATGAAAGAAGTAAATGCAAATGGGACACTTGTTTACATACAAGAGCTTTGCAATGTGTTTCTGCCGACAAAAAGGCATTTATTTTATGCGCACAATTTTATTTATTTAAATTTATTATAAAAAAGCGGATATTGTAAAGTGCTCATCAGCTAATTCGACTACACCATACTTGCAAATAAAAGTAATAAGAGTCATTTACATGTTTCTCCATCTTTAGAGCGAAGTATTATTTTGCATTGCACTAACTAATTTACATAAACAGCTGAATTTAATATTATGCCGATGTAGTTTTATGTCCCATTGAACTCGACCACAGAACAAACAAATAAAAAACGGATAGGACTAATTAAAAAAATATGTTTACTAAGAGAAAATGCCACAAAAAATGTATTTAATTAAATCTTTATATTATTATTATTTTGCCCCGTGCTAGGCGATGTCTGTTCATTTGCGAATTTATATTCATTGAGGTTTTCGATGCGAGTAATTTGCATTTAACACATGCACACACGGATACAAATTCGACCGCAAAATTACATTTAATTCTCGTAGCACGAAATTATCAACCAGCAAATCCGTTTATGCACTTGATGTCCTTAATGACTTTTGTTGTTCCTATTCCTGTTGCTGTTTTCAGTTGTGTATTCACCAAATACAATTAACTAAACATTTTTTGTTTGTTTAGAAAATTAAATTTAAGATCTGGTTCGTCGTTATTTTTGCTCAAAGGTATGATAGTACTATTTACCGGCAAATAATATTTACATAAAAATAAAATAACATTTGTCTATGTATTCGAAGAATACCCGTGTACATTGGCGTGACCAAAAACACAATATTTTTATACTCACGGTTTGAATATGTAACACAGTTAAACAACTGAAATGATTTTTATCCACTTTTTTTGGTCAGAGCAATAGTTATATTTCGTAACATTTAAACGTTTTATGCGCAATAAACTACAATAATTGTTGGGCTTTGAATGATTCACCATTGTTCATGTCCGCATGCGTTTGTGTAATTTGGCACCTTTTAAATTATTAAAATTTTCATTATAAAGTCAAACAAGCGACATATATGAAAAAGGAAGGAAATAACGAAACATAATTTGCATATTGGTTTATTTGCTGTCGCTGTTTTTGTTTCTGTTTGCGTTCACTTTGCCGGTTGCGACTCGTTTGTTCGAATTTGCATTGTTGTGGAATGTTTAACCAGTTTATTGTTCAGGGCTAGTGAGTCGAAGACTTGTGTGCAGTAGCTATGTGACAAATACAACTGTGGAATATATAATTGATCGTAGGTATAATAATAATAATAATTACAAAGGTCATTAATTAGTCATGAAGCACTTAAGCTGCTTAATTACAATAAAAAATCTTTAGTAATTTAAAACCGTATGCAGGTTATGTTAGACATGTCGCTCTTAATTAGCGTTAATTAAAAAAGATTTAATATGTACACAGTAATCCGTTTCGTATCCAATTTGAATTAAGCCCCGTGAAATAAAGAGCATTGCCGTATTTTGTTTTTTCCATGGCCTTCCTGACATATCTTTCCATTCCAGACTTTTCTTCATCCTTTTTGGCCTCCTCCATTTAACCAGAAAGTAGGGAAAGTCCCCGAACAGTAAATCAAATCAGAGACCAGAACGCTATAGTGGTATTAATGCATGAATCCTTCCCCGTCTCAGTACTTGTGCCTACACTCTCGTTATTTACGACTCTCCCGCCCTCAAAATATTTAACTTTAATATACTCTTGAGTTACTCTAATTTGTGGTTGTCAGCAAATTTTGGACTACCGTACTGGTGGGGAAAATCTGCTTTGGGAATTTAATTTCTCTTATTTCTTTTTTGCTGTTTGCTTGTGGCTGTGTTGCCTGGGAACTTTGATTTGTAGGTCTTAGCTATTCGGCTTCTGCGGTTTTCCATGGTTGTTTATGAATTATTCAAAAGAAGAAAACCGAGACAGGAGATAAAATGTACTAAATTGATTCGAAGGGTTAATATTTAATAGAGTTGAAGTGTTTTTAACATTTGGTAAAGTAATTAAGAACAGACAGAAGATTTGTTGCCTTTCCATTGCCAATGTGTTTTTTAAGAATTTCATTACATGCACATCAAACTAAAAACTTCCATTTAGCACTTTGCAACTCGCCACAAAAGTTGGGTTGAGTTTATTCAATTCAAATACCATTTTATACACTTTGTACTTCACTGGCAAAACTTAAAGACTGGTCAGGAGGAATTTCTCTCGGCGAAAGAAAGCACCAACGATACATAGGCGAAAGAATAAACTTGAGCAAAGTAACGCCTGAGGAAAATTACGAAAAACTGGCCACAGCAATTTGATAGATGGGAACGGAAAACCGAAGGAAAACTGGTGAAAACCATCATCATATTTCTGATTCTGTCGAGCAGAAAACAAATGTCAACACATACAGCATATCAAGTTGCCCAGATGTTCATTATATCAATTCTTGGGCTTCAGTTAGATCAAAAGACTCTTATTAAACTGTTTTCCCAAGGCTTTGTGCTGCCCAATTAGTTTGGTCCGACAGGGTATTTTCTCATAATTAACGAACCTTTTGCCAACAAAATGAGTGACAACAAATCTTCCTGAAAGAAAGGCCAACATAAATCCGAAATGAATACGTAAGAACAATCAATTGGGTCAAGCAATTTAATTACAAATTTTCAAGGGGCTCTGGGGGAAAAAATTTCTGTTAGTCCTGTTTATGACGAATATTTTCATTTTCACCGTCGCAGTGATAAACTTTCTGCGTAACCTGCGTAAAAAGTAACAACAACTCGAAGCAAAACCATTTGCATAAGGGGCCAGGCAGAAACGACACAATAACTCAATTCGCAGCACAAAACCAAAAAACACCACTGAAGAAAAAAACCAAATGGGCCACAAAGGGAATAAGGCATAAAAGCCGTCGCAAAAACTTTTCTGCCAAGGCAGTAAATCCTGCAGGATATGGCCCTAAGCTTAGCAACACAACGCACAACTATTCTCTGGTGTCGAGGGGAACGACAACTTTGATGTCCTGGCCGGGAGGGGATCCGAGTTCAGGCAAGTGGAGAAGAGTTAACAACTATTCACGAAACGCCAAATATTTGAAATATGTGTAGCAACAGAAATGTTGACATTTGAACTGATTTCCAGGCAGACTCCATCTCCCTGCCGAGTGTTTCTCTACGATACACTCAGAAAATTGTATCTAGAAATTGGAAGTATTGCTCAATAAAAAATAACGAGTTACAGCTATAAATGTATTTTTTAAATACTAAAATATTTTATTTCAACGTATTTCGTGGATTGTTTAAGGTCAAATACTAAGCGAGCAAATACATTTCCGTATTAATCAAAATATTTAATATACTTATAGAAAAGTTATTTCTTAAATTGGAGAAACGGAGAAAAGGAGAAACGGTAAAGTCGAGTGCCCCGACTATTAGATACCGTTTACTTAGCTAACCAATTTCAAAATAAATATGCCCCCATTTCGAGAATTTTAGGTCACCACAAGCTCTTCCGCTCTCTGATATATATGAACTACTTTTCTCAAATATGCAGTGACGTCATATTCAACACTAAATATATCCTATAACTTCTAAAGAAAAAATTGGAAAATTGTTGGTGTGTCAATTGCCCATATAAGTTTTTTTTGCGGTTTTGCCATATACCGCCCAATAAGCGACCTCTACCAGGTCCCTAAAGAGTTTTTCGCCTTGGGGGTGTTAGTGTGACAATGTTTAGAAATATACAAGAGAGAACGCTATTGTCGAGTGCCTCGACTATTAGATCCCCTTTACTCAGCTAAACAACTTAATATAAATATGCGCTATTGTATTGCGCCATCTACCCCAAGACATTAGTACCACGGGCCATGAAAGGCGGAAATGTAGGCGCTAGCCAGGCTTAAGCGTTTAATGGGTTTTTGAGCGTTAGAGTGGGCGTGGCAAACGTATATTAGGTATTGACGAAACAAATACATATCAATTAAAATTTTCATAATAGCATCAAAACTTTGGCCACAGCTTGTGGCTTGTGGGCGTCAGAGGGGGCGTGGCACCATTTTGAAACCAACTTGCGCTGCGTAGGAACTCCTAAAATCTACATGCAAAATGCCAATCTTTTAGCTTTTATAGTTTCCGAGATCTCAGCGTTCATACGGACAGACAGACGGACATGGGTAGATCGACTCGGCTAATGATCCTGAACAAGAATATATATACTTTATAGGGTCGGAAACGCTTCCTTCTACCTGTTACATACTTTTGCACGAATACAATATACCCTTTTACTCTACGAGTAACGGGTATAACTAGCGCTACATAAGAAGACCTGGAATCCAATCCCCAAATCATAGACATGGCTTGATCGGCTCTATCAATAATATAAACTTTCTTCTACCTGTTGTATACTGTCCATCAAATACAATATATCCTACGATATAAATTGTATTTATGATCTAATTTAAGTGAAATATTAATTTAACTAGAAAGTTACATTTTCAGCCATAATTATTTGAATAATTTTCCGTATTAAAAAAAGGAGCAATTTGCTTTACACAAGTTGTACTTTTTTTCTGAGTGATATAAAAACGTTGGGGCAAATTAAGTTAGCGACAGTGCGAAATTGCTTTGCCCGGAGAGTATTGGCAACCAAAATGATAAAGAAAACAGAAGCCGAACCATAAAAGCGGAGAAGAAATGTTCGTAAGTAGCATTTGTTTGGTAAATTGGCGGCAACAATAGTTGACACAACTTCTGGCAAGCGAGTGGCAAAATTCAAGGCATTCTTATTGGCAATTTCTGCTGAAGCAATTTCATCTGTCGGTTGTCATGGGAATAAATGTTAAATCAGCCACATACAAAATGCTTTTATCGTGTGATTTTTTTATTCCACTATATTTTTGAGTAAGTGTTTATGTGTTTATGTAAGCATATGGTTAAACTAACATTAAATATAAAGGACTTAATTATTTATCTTATAATACTTGACATTCGGATTTCAGTACAATTCAAAAACCGTTTTGTTTGTCCCTGTTTTCTTTGGATTTAATTATCAGTAACGATAAACTGACATCCTCAAAATATTTAGCTTTTGTTTAAAACTATTAATATTCATCTAGCGATATTTGTAAATACTGTTGCTAATATTGGCATACTTTGCATAACATAAAAAGCAGCTGAAACTATTGGTGAAACCCATTTTATATTTACTTCTAAATTTAGATATTTTCAAAATTTTGCCTTCACCTTAAGAATTATTTATTTTGCCAAGACAAAACATTAATTTATGTATACATTCTCCTTTCGTTTTATGTACAAACTAATATGCTTAACTGAGCTTAAATTAACAAAATATATTTTTCAAAATGACCAATCGATTATATTGGTATCTAAGTTGATAAAAGTTTAGGAAAATGGACATCAAACTACTTAATGTGTTTTGTAAATAGTTACAAGCAACTCGTTAAAGCGGTAATATTCTCAAGAAAATTAGTTTTCTTTACGGGAATCGCTGCTTATATTGATATGGCGAACCTTCGCTGTAATCTCTAGGGAAACCTCCACTGCAATTTTCCTAACTAATTTACGCCGGCAGAAAGTTTCCTGGAAACTCTGCAGAAAAGCTAGAAGGCCACAGTCGGAGTTCTAACCACGAGCAATGCCGCCAAGTCAAAGATAAACTTTACACCAAAATGTATTATTAAATTTACGCAGGCCCCATAAAATTCCGGGCCAGAGGAAACCAGCGAGATGGGATGCCGACAACGATTGTTGGCGACTTGGCAGGCAGCTGTCTGTCGCCGCATTGCGGGCTCGGCGGGAGGTCCTGAAGGACTTCTTGGCAGCCGCTCCCTGGTGTTTCTATATATTGGTCGTAATACTTCTGCCGGGCGGCGGCTGGAACTGCAGCAGCTCGGTGCGTACGGTTCCAGTCGACGAGGAGGAGGACGAGTCGGTGGTCGAGGCCTGGGATGCCGACGAACCCGATGATATTGTGGAGTCGGTTCGCTGCTGGCATCCCAGGGGATTTGCGGTGCTTTCCGTTGCCGTGGCCGTACCCGTTGCCATTGCTGTCTGCAAATCCTTGCCGGAAGCCTGCCGTTGCAATTGAGGTATGCGGCTTGCTGCGGCCGGTGCTGTTGCTCCAGGAGGCTCCCCAGCTGCTCCTCCCGGAAGGGAATCGGCCTGCTTGGTGGGTCTGGGGATGAGGGAGGTCCTCGAGGGCGACTTCATGGGCTGCGCGTACAAATCGCCGTTGGGCGCGGCCCAGCTGCAACTTGCAGGACTGGCCTTGATTGCGTAAATGCACTCGGTCCGCTCGCCCTGAGGGGGCGTGGTCTCGTGGGCCGGGGGCACCGACTCGAAGGACTGAAAGGATCCGCTGAGCGCCGTCATCGCTGCCGCCTCCTGCATTCTCTTGGCTCGTTTCAGACTGGAGGCCGGCGACTTGGGCACAATGGGTCCCACGATGAGAGTGTTCTGAGAGATTTGGGGCTCCTTCAGGTCCTCGTCCTCGGCCCCACAGTCCCTGGCCACCTGCAGGGGGGAGGTGGTCACATTGCTGCTGTCCCTCCGCCTCCTGCCCAAAGTGTTGCTAATGGTTCTCGGCGGCGGCAGAGGGGCGTTGAAGTTCTGCGGCGGCAGGGAGTTGCGCTTGTAGCTGCTGCCAGCCAAGTCCTGTTCCGTGGGCAGGACCTTGGGACAGTTGCGCTGCCGCAGAAGCGCTAGCTGCTGGGCGGCTGTTAGCGGAATGACCGCCAGGCCGTCCGAATCGTCCCTGCTCGTCACGTTGATGTCCACGTCGTCGGCATGGACGAAGCTGGTGACCTGCTCGTCGGCCGCCAGGATCATGTCCACCGGATCGGAGTGGGGGTGCGGGTGCTCCCTCAGCGGATGCTGCTGCTGGAGGATGTCGTCACTGGGTTCGGTGAGTGCCGAGTGCTGCCTCTGCAACAACATCTCGTAGTGCTGCGGCTCGTGCATGTGCTGCGGGATGAGCAACGCCGCATCGGCCACCTCTATATCCTGGCAAATGATCAGCCGGCCATCGGAAAACAGGGGCTGGGGAGGGGGCGTGGCCGTGTTGAAGCTACCCGACTTCGGGGCCTCCTGGCCGGACATCCACTCGCAGACCTTGGTGTGGGTGTCCACCGTGGAGCAGCTGAGTGACCTCTGACCCGTCTTGATGGCCTCGTAGGTGTTTGACTTCCTGCTCATTTCCAGGACAAAGCTGTCGTCTCCGTCGCGGGACTTGCTGCACCTCTTCAGCTCCTCATCGTTGGCCCCATCGTAGCTGAGGATGGTTCCGCCCAACTTGGGAGCGGGGAAGGGCAGGGCCTTAGCCCTTCGGCGGCGCTGACGCAAGAGGAAGGTTCCGTAAATCAACAGATTGAGAACTATAATTATGGTTATTAGGGCGATCAGGAGCTGCGTCGTGGCCTCCGATTTGGCCACCGTCTCGGGCGGCGACTGCTGCCGAGCCTCTCCGCTCTCCAGTGGATTTGTGGAGGTCACCGAGTCCTCGAAGTCACTCCCTCCCTGCACCTTGTGGACATGTCCGAAAGTGGGCGGGGCATTGTACATGTTCTCCGCCGCCGCCTCCGTGGACTCGCCACTCTGAGTCGGGCCTGCGAGACTGGGCTCCTGGAGAAGCAGCTTCAGCGTCCGCACCGGGTCCTCCGCTCCGTGGTCCCTGGGCCCGTACTTGCTCATGTGGCCCGTAATCACCTCCTGACCGGGGCCGTGCAGCTGCTCCTGGATGGCCGCAATCTGGTTCAGCTCGTCGGGCAGCTCTTTGTTCCAGAAATTCATGTAAATCTGACGGTACTTGTAGCCCACCGTCGGCGGAATACCTGCATAAAAAAAGGGGAACAAATAATCAAGGGCTCGCAGTAAAGAAAAATTAATAAGTAATTGCTCTTCAGGGTATTGAAGATTATGGGTACTAAATGTCAAATACTCACCAATGTTAAGGTATGCCTGAGCCCTCCTATTAAACTCCGGCCAGTCCAGATCGTAGCGATCCCACTCGAGGGCATGTGAGTTGAGGAAGGTACCCTTCCATGGTGCTTTCGGGTTGCTGCAAAAACATCAAGGCAACCGATAAGAATTTGTGGCAACGGATGTGCTATCGTCTATTTCACATTCATGCCCCCGCTGGCCCAGAAAAAAATCTCATTTTATCGACATAATCCGGCCATTCATTTGCTCATTTAAATGACATGGTTATGGCCAATAACCACACTCTCTGGCAGCCGAATGCCAAAACGTCCTGCTAACGATCTCTGATTTCAGTTTTGATTGCCGAACCCATTTCCATTTTTTGTTCGGCCTGTACTTTTATCCCAGAGCGGTGGCCACTTCAACTAATAATATTTGCATGTGCCGCCACCCGATCCGGCTGCTGTGGAATAATAATAAAAGCGGCAGTAAAAATTCTATTCATTTCGCTGTCCAAGCGTTGCAGATTGCAAAACGTGCCGCAGTCGAAGGCAAAGCCAATGCCAAACCAAAGCCACCAGTCGTAACCATTCCAGAACTCATGAATATCCCACACTGCATCCGCATCCGCATCCGCATCCGCATTTGCATGCAGAACTGTGACTCTTCGTGTTGATGTTGATGACCCCCCGCTGTCTCGTCCCCCACTTTCGAAATCCAACAACTCTCTGCTAACTTTCTCCAAATGCACTTTCCACATCCGCTTTTTGGCCTGCAAGTCCGGCAGCCAGTACTCACCCGGTCTTTACGAAATTCGTCCAATATGCCATTACCGCCTCGGATAGCAGCTTTTCCTGCACCGTGTAGTTGCCGCTGGGAAAAGGACCTGCGGGAGCCAAAGGAGCCCCGAAGACGAACGCCAATTCCTCGCCCATAATGCTATGCGGTAACTGTAAGTGAAGTATACATATATCACAGTGCAGCAGTGTCAGTAAATCAAGCCGGTAAGGGAATACTCTTAAACGCGGACTATTTAATAAAAAAAATGCAGATAAATGCGAGCTTCAGGATCGGGATTCCATTAAATTCGAGTTATATTAAATAGTTTGGGGCATATCGGTTGGGTATTAGATGATAAGACAAGCTAGGACACATTCAGAATGAACCAATATATCAATTATATTTAAGGAATAAACATTTTCAGTATCTAAAGCATCTAAAACTAAGTAAAGTAAATATTTCAGTCTACTTTTTTAATAACAATGAATTTTAATTTTCTAATAAGCAAACATTTCGAATACAATGTAAAATCACATATTTTATTGGAATCGGCCTTCCATATTTTATTGGAATCTCTGATTTGTGGTTTAAACTTCCTAATGTTTTCAACCTTCGTCACAAAGTTTATGTACCTCCGGGCAAAATTTAATGCGGTTGGAGCTCGGTGAGGCGGAGATCGGGTGTGAAATGTTTTCAGCAGTATTTTAACGGCTCTTTTTGGCCATTGTGACCAACCGGCATCAATCTTCTTAGACGGCCTGCATAAATATTTAGCTAGCCGAAGACATGCCAAAAGCGTGCGATGGAAATCGAGGACGAAAATGGGACCGCCAGAGGGAGTCGCTGAATGTAAGTAGGTAATAAAGCCAAGTTTTTATTGTTGCCATGAAAAATGTAACAAAGTCACAAAGCATTTCTGTCTGAGCACATCAAAATGGCACTGTCCCGGAGCTGCTGACTGTTCTTTTGGTCTTTGTACGATGTCCTCTGCGCCGCTGAAATCTTTTATGGCATTTATGAATGATGAATTTCGCTTTTGATTTTCTTGTTGCAACTGGGTGAGAATTTGATGAAACGGGTAAAAGAAATTCAATTTCGCTTCTCGATGGCAAGGCTTAGCCTAAGCTTTTTGTTGAGCGTTCTGTGATGAATACGGTTCAATGGCCCTATAACAAAATCAAAGCGAATCTTAAAGGTTTTTTACGATTGAAATTGATGCGGCAGACTGGCGTATGTTTATTTTAACGGTTGAAATTTTGTTGACATTCCAGGAATAAGGACAGCGGAATATTGTCATATCAATCAAATGGAGTGCTTGCTGGCGGCAAATATTTTTCTAATATTTGTTCAAGTGAAAAATGTAAATTGTCCAATAACACACATTTTACTGCAAATGTTGACATAAAACCTAACCATTTTAATTAAACACTTTCGCTTAAATTCTGTTCAATCAGAATTAGTCCGCGATACGAATGCATAATTAAAGCTTGTTCATAAATTGGCCGAAATAATTTATGTATTTATTCCATTGGCCGAAACGTGGGCACTTCCTGTAACAAATTATCTTTATTGGCCAACGATTCTTGCTTTAAAGTTGCGAAATAAAAAATTACCGGAGCGGAGGCGGAAATTCAATTTGGAATAAATGCGTAACTTTCGTAATTTATGCTTCTGCGTTTGCCCACTCTTAAACTGGCTCTTTGTGCCCACGGCAACGGAAGCAACAATTTGACTTAGCGCCATTTGTCGTAATAAACCTAATGGAGTTAATGGCACTCGCAGCGTGTAAAATTTCCAAAAATATTTTCCCCGAATTGGCTTAGGCAAAACGCTTTACGGTGGGACTAAGGATTCGAAACCTGAGGCAATATTGTTGGCGTGAATTGCCGAGGGGATGAAAATTCCTTGCCGCACAATTTGCTCTCATCTTTTTATAATTTTATTGGATTATACAAGAGTTGGGGCGGGCCAGGTCTATTTAATTTGGTATTTTTGTGTGTCGGTAATTAAATATTTCCCCACACAACATTTTGCCCAAAAAATACGCTATACATTGGCCACGTTTTTCAGTACTTGCCAAACACTCGAGATGCAAAAACCTTTTTGCGGACTTCGGTCGGAAACTTTCAACCACGCACCAAAATAAAAACTTTAGTTACAGTCATATTTATTTTATTTTCATAAATTTCTTTTCCTTCCTCAACCATTTCGCATTCTTATCAGAAGGAGAAAGTGGGAGGTGGGCCAAATGCCCAAATAGTCGACGAAAAAACTTTGGCCATGAAAAAGAAAGCGACCAGACGGGACATACTTCAAATGTTTTTTATTTGTGCGGCTTTTGCGGAGATTCTTGGGATGCTGACCGCGTTTGAATGCGATGATAATGACGTTTGTCTATGTGGGTCTGTGTGCGCGTGAGCACTGGGGAAAATGCTAAATTTAATATGGAAAACTTATTAAACTGTCCTCAAGCCGAAGTCGTTTTCATCTCTTTTCCCTCGATTATGCCTAAATAAATTGGAACTTGTTTTGCCAAAGTTTTCGCCTCGCTGAGTTTATTGCTCAGCTTGGGAAATTAGAAAAGGAGAATAGAAAAATCTCCAAAGCCCCATTTTTTTCCAATTCCCATGTTGTTTATTTTTGTTTTGTCTTCGGAATTGAATTCAATTAGGCCGTTCTTTACGCACAGTTCTCATTTGGCCTGAATTATCTGTTCTTAGAAAAGTACTTGATGTTTAAGAATTTAACAACGCTTGGAGCCAAAGCTCCGTAGAAATCAAGTCGTGGGCCCATTTTAGGGATGATATTTCCAGCAATAAACTTTGGTTTTCTGTTATTTAAAGGTAAACCTTTGAAGGGATTAGTTTGAAATTCTGAAATTTACAGATATATTTTTCGTTTCAAATTAATTTGACGCTTTTTTTACTTGGTTCTCATTGGCATTGTAAAGTAGTTCTGCCATATTTCTGGGATTAAATCAATTAAGCCATACTTTAAGCTCGGTCCCCATTTTGCTTGAATTATCTATGCTTGGAATAATTTTCGCTATTTTGAACAATCGTCCTGAGGCGCATTTCCATCTCAGTGGAATGGCCGGACTCTTAAAGCCAAGTACGTAAGTAGTCTCTTTTGGCCCGTTTTGAGGCTGAGGCAAACAGGCAAGACATGTGCCAAAAAGTTTCACAATAAGCCCGCGGCCCAAGGCAGATAGTCAAAGCAGCTGGGGGGTGGGGGCGGAGGCGGGGCAGTCTGCTGAGTGGGCGTGGTCCAAGTCAGTGAGTGGCTGACGCTTGAGATGGAGTGCAGAAGCGCAGTTTATGCACAAATTCATTCGCATTCAGTCGAGTTTTCTTGGCTTCGGCCCTGAGAAACGGAGAGTGCGGCAACAGCAAGATGTTGGTTGGTATAAATAAAATAAGAGCCGGAATGGTCTGCGATTGTGTGGGCCTTAAGTTGTCTGACTGTTTGCCTGCCAGGGCCGCCAACGATACACCCCAAAATACACAGAAAACGAGTAGGTTGCGTTGGCGACAGCCAGCGATAATTTGTAGGCACGCCGGAATATCCTTGGGATCCGCTTTTCATGTTTAAGGCCTCACGAGCAGCATGAAATATTTAACTGAATTTTATTTTCGCAATTTATTCGCAACTAATGCGATGGCTGGGTGCTGAACCCGGCCATATATCAGGCGGCATAAACATGTTCTTTTGTGTGATTTGGCTACTTTCAGTCGATGGCAACCGCTGGCAATTTATCAGACTCATTTTCATACTTTAATTGCGGGCTTTTAACAAGTTGCTGTACCCCGCTTGCCACAAGCTGTTGTCGCATCCAAAAGGCCATGATCCCGAGCGGTTCATCTATTTGCAGTTGCAGTTTGTTTTATGGCCAACTGCCCCGCAACTGTGGCCATAAAAATTCGCTTAGCGCAAGGCTAGAAGTTGCCAAAAACATAATATGAAATAACAACTTTCCGCGTGGCGGAGGAAGTGTCTCTTTTGTTTTGGATCCCTGTTTGAGTTGTTTTCAAATTCATTATTTCTGAATGGGTTGTTTGTGGAAGTTTTGTCTCCGTCTGCTAAGCAATGTCTGTTTTGCCAATGGTTTTCTTAAATTTCCCGCAAAGGCATAGGCGAAGCTCTAAGGACCCTAACCGAGGGGAAAACAGCGAGAAGATGAAAGGATTCCCTCGGAAACTTACCCATTCCAAGCGTCCAGAACTTTATATTTGCTTATCAATCCAATCATCTTAATTACAAATCAATATGCCCATTTGACAGTAGAGTAGCGGAGGTCCGAGGCCAAGACAGCTTCAGACAACACAAAGCTATCTCTGCGAGGCAATCAGTAACAAATCCATAAGCATGACAAAGCCATAAAAACCGGCAACCTAACCAAGTCGGAGGAACGAGGACAAAGATAGCCATAACCAAAGCCAAAATCCTTCTCCGCCCCTTGAAAGTGACCCCTCCTCGGACACAAATGAACCCTAAGTCAAACGGATGCCGTCTGCTTAGCGAAAGGGCACTAGCTAAACTTGTCTGGCGATGTTTTTGTTTTGACTTCTCTCCATTTTCAGCTGCACCAGAAAAAATTAAACCGAAATTTCTTATTTATCAGTGAAGACATGCTTTTACTTTTCATCCTAATTTTGTAAAATAGACATATTCCGTGGTACATTGCTCTATTCTTTTCTCTGTGTAGATATTTAGCAATTTCTGTTGCTACGGGGTTCAATGTCTTCAGAGCGATCATTTCCCAATGGCAGCTGCAAACTCGCGAATTGTTTTGGCCAAAAAGCCAAAAACAAGCACCGTCAGCCATGGATGAAGTGAACTTAACAGCCCAGTGCCACAAACTTTTCAGCGTTATTGTTCCATTATTGGATGGACAATCCGGGAGCGGAAAGGGAGGGATCGAGTACATTATGGAAACTCATTAGATGCCAACTCATGCTGGGTTCATTCGGTCCGCACCGCGAGCGTTTAATTTAAATGCGCTGTAGAGTATGTAATTGGAATCGCCATTCGGGCATTGAGGAGGGCTAATACTTACGTGGGCATACGGTCCCGTCGCGCTGTTATGGCCGAATACGTACATATAATTGCGCCGATTGACATCCGCGTGGAACATCCCCGTCTGCAGCAGCGGACCCACAACTCGGGCATCGGACAGTATGTCCAGGACCACGTCACGATGCTCCAAATTAGTGGCCTTAATCGGATTGTTGTACATGTCCTGGTATCTGCAAAGAGTGGGAGGGAGACCGTAAGTGTGCGGCACGAAACAAGCGGAACATCATCGCAGCGTGGCGTATGCGTAATGTGCATTGTTAACATTTGGTGCTCACTGTGGCTGTGGCCATGGGTGTGCGTGTGTTACCCGTTTTGTGTATTTACTCTCGGTACGTTAAGCTTAATTACGCGGTTGCCTTTTGTGTGGAGCACTCCCAGTGGGACACTCCCAGTCAACAATGAGAGACTAATGCCAAAAATCGTGAATAAACAAAAAAAAAAGTTTCTCTGATTGTAATTGATTTTTGTGCGAGATTTGCACTGCTAGCCCACAACCATTAAATGTAATCGCCGAAATCGTTTCTATTGAGCAATTCTTTGGTCACTTTTACCTGTTACTTAAGGGTAAAGTTATTCCGTAACAAAAGTATACCGCATTAAAATAACTCATCTACACAGCTTTATTAAAAAATAAAAAGGAAATCTTTTAAGTTGCTGTAATAAAAGTAATCAAAAAGCTTTCCCAAACATTCAATGTATTAATTACTTTTAAATATACATATTCAAGAAATGCTTTCGCATGATTTTGCATGCCTTACGATTATGAAAAAGTATTGTGATTGAGTGCCTTTATTTGTCCGTTTTTTATTATATGGTTTTAAAGAAATACACAATGAGATACATAATAATAATATCAAGATTAAAAAAAGAAACAACAAAAGCAAACCATTTTGGTTGGTAAGACTGCTGTTAAACTTTCAACGTCTGTGAAAACTTAGCGCTTTTGGGAATGCTTTAACTTGTCTTTAATAGCTTTTTAAAAAGTTTTTTATATGTCAAACCACCCAAAAAAACTTAACTAAAAGCAGTTTGATTTTTTTTCTCACCTTATTAAAAGAAAAAGTTTTCCTGCATACTTTTATGTGATTAATTTGATTTGTCATTGCTAATATACAAATTTAAAAAACCGCGTACAAATAATTCAACGCCCAGGTACCTTTATCAAAATTGTTCCCTGTACTTCTTTTCTTAAATAAATTTGTTGCTCTCCTGTTCCACATTAGATAAATCGGCATGCTTCTGGTTAAGTCCATCCCAGCATGAAATTATTATGGCGCAGCGGGAAAGACACGGAGTCTGGAAAATATACAGAAATCCCTCTGTGGCTGCCTTGTGTTCATGTCAAGCACAACACTTGGCCTTTTGCGAGCAGCTGTTGAAGCAGGTACAACATGCCACAGGACACACACTCACTCCAGGGCATCTGTACACCGAGTTTTTCAACGTCTTGGCATGGCCTAATGTGCAAATAAATAGAGCCATATTTTCCACATTTTCGTACGGGTGTACTTAGTTTTCCTTTGCTGCCTGGCTTGTCTGCTTGTATTTTGTGTGCCATGTTATGCATTTTATTGTCGGCTACTTAAGTTATGCACTTTGACCTCTATTCGGGCAGCACCAGCACAGTCGACCCCCCGCGAAGAAGCCTCGAGCCAAGGAAAGTCAGCGCACGGCGGGGAGTACGGTGCCACTCATGAGTGTATGGCCCAAGGTGGCTCGCAAGTCGCCTTTCGTTTGCTGTACTTGCTGCTGTCATGCTGGATTTACAGGACCTATTTACAGCAGCGGTCAAAAATCTCGCATACACGGGTTCTTTTAACCAGTAATGTTAGTAGTTTAAATTGAAAATTATTGATGTCAACTTGAATGGATGATTTTTTTGTGGAAATCGGAGGAATATTTCATCCATATCGTATATCTGAACACTGAGCCTCTTTCTGTTGAAAACATTTTTAAGGAAAAACATTTCGAGATATTTTGACCTACAATTCGGGCTGCATGCGTTTCTGTTGCCGTCGTCGGAGACACATGTTTGCATTGGAACCCTAGTCGGAATCAGAGTCGAAGCAGCTCAGCTTCGCTTTATATTTATTTGGGGTTTCTATTATGTAATCCCATATAGTTGAACAGACGCTTAGAGCGTTATGCCGGCGGTCTCCGATCCGAATAAGCAATAAATAAAATGTGAGCTTAAAGTGTATTCAAAAATTGAGAGAAAATCTCCTTCCGAAAGTAAAGTTTAAAACTGATTGTGGAATGGAATGAACATGTGTTAAGGTTCCCGCAGCTGCTCAAAGCTTTGATCTTATTATTCTCCGCACGGTGGCATTATTATAATCTCATCGAAAAGCCCGCACCAACAACCGACTTAATTAAAAGTGCATACAAGCCATGATAATTCCGTTTGAGATGGGGCGGATAAACTTTTTAGCTGTCCATTGAGAAAACCGTAAAAATGTGTCATTGCATTTATAATTTGGAAATCACGCGAAATGCAAAAACAAACAAAAAGGCGAGCAAACAAATTTCGAATGCCACCAGACCAGCACAAATGCTTAATTAAAAGTTGGACGAATGTGCATTGGGGAAATCCCATAAAAAACATGGAATAACCCGAACGTGTGGTGCTGTTGGCAAGGAAACAAGATTAAAGTGCCCCACAAACAAACAATAAGTGGAACAATTCCGAGACTAACGCCAGCCGAAAGTTTCGTGAACGAGACCAGTGCCGCCAACAATATAATTAAATATATACGTGTGTATTTAGACGACAATGTTATACGCACCGCAAGACGACCCACAAAAGCGACCAAACACACTCAAAAGTAACCGCACAACTCTCGAAACACCAATACACATGCAGTCGCTCTGGCATTGGCACTCCCACGCACACACACAAACGCCCCCAAAAAATGGCCACCGGAAATATGCACAACAAACACTCGAAAGTATGCAGTGGAAAGCACACACAACAAAACCAGAAACAAATAGCAGGTGGAAGAGGTGAACAAAAGCGATGAGCGTCATTTGCTTGCTGCAGTGCCACGCCCACTTGGACGGCCCTCCTCCTTTGCGAACATCGAGTGGAGACGAAGAAATGACCATTCAGGGAACACACAAAAGTGTGATCCAATTTGGCAGTACAGTTCAAATTTGGTATTTCATTTCTAGCTTCACACGTTTATTTGAAATGGAGAAATTCTCTTATCAAATATTTATAACCTGAAATAAAATGCAGAATAGAAAGTATTCTTGGGTAAAACTGTTGTTTATAAAGTTAATTGATTTAAATAACTTTAAGACAAAAGCTTTGTTTTGTTCTTACAAAATTACGATCATTTGAATAATGAATAATAATCTCCTTGCAAAGATACTAAAACTTTCAGCAGCGAATAGAAAACAATAACTTGTACCTTACTTGTCCGAAGTTATCTTAATCAGAAAGAGGCTTATGGTTCTGAAAAAGAAATAAACGTCATGAATTAAAATAAAGAACAAGGGAAATTAGCGCCCTAACTCTTTGTGGCTAACCACACGAAGAACGTTCTCCCCTAACCTGGTCGCACAGTGTAGGTTGCTGACTTCCGCTGCTCGTTTTTGGAGCGTGAAGCAACACTCACATTTAATTTCCGAGGAGCGTATGTGACACTTTAAATATTTCCGCACTCAAACAAACACTTCTCCGCCAGAAACACACACTCGCAAACAGACTCAGAGTCGGATGCGGATGCGGATGCGGAGATACAGATTCAGACAGAGACAGAGGAGGAGACTGAGACAGGCGGAGGTGTTCGCCGTACTTCTGTCCGCTGTGTCTGATTCTGATCTCCGTCTGCCTCCCGAGGGTGCACAGTTTTCTAGTGCCCTAGATTTTTGGCAGCTGCAGAGCTGTAATGAATTTGTTGAGGAGTTTGCTAATGAAGTGCGACGGGTCTTTCGAATAAAATGCAATTTGACTTTAAATTGCATTAAGCGGGAATTACATGGAATCAGAATGTGCCCCTAATGGCATTCAAACGAGTGGACAATTATCCCAGTATTTTCATTCACTTGGTAAAGCTTGGTCTTTAATGACGGTAAAACATTTGAATATACCCCTGGCACATATAGTTGAGTTAACTTTAAGTGGGCCCACCCTCAAATATTTAAAGCACCGGCTCAAATCACAGTGTGTCCTAGGCGATATGCCTGTAGACACACCAAGTAAAGCGAAACAACTCGTGCCTCAAATACCCGTGCACATATAGACACGGATGCGGACCACTAACTGGCGTTAATGCCCGACTTCTGCGGTGGATCGGAGTGCGACGCGGGGAATAGTGTGGTTCATGAACCCCACTTAACGTGGATACAACGAGGGTGTCCCATTAAGTGTTCACCCGCTGCCAGGCTAAGCAGTCAAGGCACTGGAGGACGTGTGTGCCCTGGAAACTGCTGCCGGTTCCTTCAATCAGGGCCTCAATGATTGAGGGAGTATGCCCCCGGCAGTGACGGGAATGGATACTGGATATTGTTATCTAGGCCCAGGCCATGGTAAAAGCTAATAAATATTCAAAGGCAACATAAAAAGAAATATGCATATTGTATTTATTACAAAAAGAAGAATATAAATTATAAGCGTAGCCAACACTCACTACTCAAATGTGAATCATGCATAGAAATTTGAAATGATACTTGCCCACCACAAATATTATAAGTAAGCACTTCTTTTTAGAATTTCTTAAAACAAACAAGATGTTTCGATTCTATATGACTGTGGTGGCATGGGTTTTTAAAAATTTATAAATTAAGAAAACATTTTTATTGGCCTCTTGTCCACCAAATACCGGAATTTTTCCATTATTTATTTCAGGCAGTTTACTGCCTTCAAATGTATTTAATTTTCAGGTACGAAAATTTACCACTAATACACTAGTCGACCTGGTAATTGTTGAATTTAACAATTCACAGTATTTGGTAATATGCCAGATTTCAATTATTTATTGCGCCCACGTGGACTTACAACAATTTCTGGTCAGTGCGGAATATAATATAATATATTGCGTATACGCCACCCGCTCCGCCCAAAAACTGTTTACCGAAATTGCTTTGCCACATACTGCGGCCGCTTTGTGTGCTAGTATGGGTGTCGGAGTGTTTGTTGTGGATGAGCACATGAACGCCACAGGCC